TAACAAACCATACATCAATGGAAAGATTATTTATTCAATCTAAAAAAAAAAACTACAAAAAAAAATGTACCCTTATGACTGGTTTTGTATTTGATAATGTTTAATGGACACGATAAACATGATTCCTCTGTTCCTGACAGGTTTCCTCCCACAGCTATGACCTGCATGCCATAATAAACCTTTATGGTACATTGGAAGATGGACACTATAATACTAACATCAAATCTGATGATGGAAACTGGTATCGATGTGATGACAGCCATGTATTTCAGGTACATATAGACATGAAAACATGGTTACAAACATGGTTTAAAATGGATTGACTTTCAATATGCCTTTATAAGTCTTAAAGGGGTCATGACATGAGAAATCAAATTTGCCTTGATCTTTTGGCATATAAGAGGTCTTTGTACCATTAAAACATCCTCCAAGTTTCATAGCTTAAGACGCCATCCTCACTGTAAACAAAACATTTATTTATTCAAGCTCCAAAAACGGCTCATTTTGGAGCAAGACATGGACATAGCCCCCCCAAGTTGAATGCGAGCATCGCATCAAAAGCAAATAGAAATGACAATCACTCGGCTATCTTGTCTACACTGGATACAGATGCACGTTCGTTTCTGATTCTGTCTGTCGTCAGGACAAATGAGTGAAAGAACGTTCGCTTTGACGCGTTTGGTTTAAACAGCTAGTTTGCGTCTTTGTACAGATATCAGAAGGATTCCCGTGTTTGAGGATTTTGTTTTGTAAATGAGGCTCAGTGTCATGGAGAGTCACAAAGAAACATTTGCTGAGAGATGAAGCAGTACTAGACTAGATCTGACTGCAGCTGCATCACATTTTAAGTAAATTATTTCATAATGCTTCGTCTGGAAATGAACATAACTTAAAGTTATTTTTGATCATGTTGTCAAAACTCACATGCAATAGCGAGGGGGCGTTGATACTGTTTCCTATGCAATGACGTTATCTTATCATAACAGTGGTCAAATACTGAGAAGCCTTGAAGGACATTCCCCTTAAAACAGCTGGTTTCTGAGAGAGGTTCAGAATGTGGGTTGAAAACAATTATTTTCCCACTTTTTCTTTTTTTTTGTGCAAAAAAAAAAAAATTTACATTATAAGCAAACCTCAAGGAACATATTCAAATAATAATAATAATAATAATAAAATCCATGTCATGACCCCTTTAAAGATTTACAAGAACTGTAGTTGTTCAGGTTTAAAATGTGCAGATTCCTCAGTTTAATGAAATAAAAACAGTAGACACATACATATAAATGTTACGTCTTTTCGTGATGCAAGAGTGAAAGTATAAGTGTATTATGTAATGCATCATGTGCATTGTGTCTCACAAAAATATATTTCTTTTGAACTTTTTTTCAAAGATTCCTGAGACAATGTTTTCACGAAGGGACCCATTCGATTTTATGAAACATTTTTTTCGATCTTTAAATGTGGGCGATTCACTCAGGTACCAGACATTTGCTACATACACAACTGTATTTATGATATTGTATTTGTATTTGTCTATTTGTCTATTGTAATCTACTTAAATAGATTGTAAAGTGCATCTTTATTCGCAGGTCACTGGCATATCTACTCTTGTACAAACGCAGTGAGTATATTATTACTACTAAACCTGTAAAATGTAAGAGGCATTTCTCTTTTATTCTATT